ATATTACGGTGATTTAATTTAAGTTCCATCACAGAGCCCCGCTTTTGGAGGGTCAGAGAACCCTATAATCCAATTAGTAATTCTAGTTTTTCCATTCTTGTCCTACTCACCAAGTCCAGGTGAAAGTCCAGGTGACCCTCCAAGAACTTCCCACAATCTTACCTACCCCCTAGGTTCCCCCTTTAATCACCTCCCCCTAATATTAAACCCCCCACCCCCCAATACCCCCCATTGGGGTATCCTAATATATTGCGGGTATTTCATATTAAGGGGGGTGGGGGGGTCTCATATTCGGGGGAGGGGATGATTAAGGTTACATAGGGATGATTAAGGTTCGTTGAGCTGGAACCTGGAGGGTAGTAGGGATGTATGGTTCAGGGTTTGGCGCGTCAGGGCTTAAGGCTTGAGGGTTTTAGGATTTGCTGGTGTTGGTTCAGGGACTGAAGTCTGCGGGTTTTAGGGCCAATGGTTTGAGGTGAAAAAGGTTTCGGGTTTGAGGGTTCAGGGGTTTCGGCTGTTAGCTGAGGAGCTCCGGCAACAAACGGTTTGGGGTGTAGAATAGCCGCATCTTACATCTTTGAATACTTCTTCACATATAGTTCTCTATTATAACGCCCTCCTGAATTTCCAACTAAGCGCCAGGGAACCCTAAACCCTAAACCTTAGGGATTAGTGTCCAGGCTCCCAGAGCGATCCTCCCTTGGGCCGAGCCGCCCGCAAGCGCCGGCGGAAGCGTCTTCGAGTAAAGTTGACAAGGGGCTTTCTCAAAATGGAGCGCTTGCCTGAACTTTATAAATCCTAAAAACCTATAAATCCCCAAACCCTAACCCTAAACCTTGCCTAAACCCTTAACCCTATAAACCACAAACCCCTTCGGAGTTTCAGGGTTTACGTCTTTGATCCTGAGGCTCTATCATCCCTGAAGCATGGGCCGTCATTGGGGCTGCATCCTCCTTAGCAAGCTGTTCGGCTTTGTAGGGAGTATGCGGGAATTTCGCAGGAAAACCTTCCAAGACCATCCTGGAGAAACCGCTCTAATTTCTGAAGGGGGATTTGGCAACCCCAACACCCCCAAAAAAAAGACCCCGCGACCATCATGCGACCCAATGTAGAGTCCTAATGTTGAGTGGTACGGTTACCTAACCTAGATGCGCTTGCTATTCATCCCTACGTTCCTTAAACATATTTTTCTTCAAGAAGGCAAGCCTGGCGATGCATGAAGGCTTGAGGTGCTACACTTCTTGTTCAGGGTGTAGGGTTTAGGGTCTCAGGAGTTAGGGTTTAGGGTCTCAGGGTCTGGAGTTTCAAACGGGAGCGCTCTCACAACAAGAAACACGGGACACTCTCGTAGAGCAACGAATCCCGTTCTACCGAACTGGCAGGCTTTCCATTTTCGTTGCATGTCACCCACGGCATCCAAATAATTGAACGTAAGCAGAGTAGGCATACACATTTTATAGACTCTATAGGGCCCAAAATAGGCATTATTCGTAGACTTTAGCCAAAGCTTTGGCAGACATGCCTGATTTGCGAACTTATCGCCAGGCAGCCTCCCCGCTGCTCCTACTTGCTATGGGGTTTAGGCGTCTAGGGGGTTGGTGTTTCGGGGCTTGGGGCCTAGTGGAAGAGGGTCTATAGGTTTAATGGTAATGTCTGTGGCTTCGTTCACATAATCTCAGTACTACAACGTGATCAGGAATATTGTGATTGTTTTGAGAGAGGACATGCGCCATGTATTGTCTGTATCCGTGCAGAAAGTTGTGCTGTCATTTTCGGAATGCAGTTGTCAAGTTTGACTAATTTCAATTTTCTAGCTGTCCGTCACAGAGAGTGACCCAAGCTCCCCTCAGCAAGTTGCTTACCAAGAAGGTGGGCAAATTTATGACTGTCAAAGAAAGAAAAAACATGGGCGAAAACGCAAGACGCCCTTTGCCCACATTCCTTGCTACCCAAGCTCCCGGTAGTGGCCTTTAGACATTATCATGTATTTTTCCAGCACCAGAGAACCCGCACCCTCTCCTTTGCACGCACCCCAGGATTGAGCGGAGTGAAAGGCATGCGCGCAGCAGGCAAGGCTAAATCAAATGGGATGGTCTGAAACATCATGTGTTTGCTGGCGAGTGGCTTTTGCTGTGGTGCAATGGGCTTGATGAGATCTTTCCTGGCCTTTCGAGCCTGGCACGTATCACGTGTAGCCGTGTTAAGGTCTAGAGGCTAGAGTCTAGAGGCTCGGATGTTTGCGGAGGCTAGGACGCACTGAAAACTAAAACTTGGCAACTGCTTGTACTCTGCCTGCCTTCCCTGAATCTTCTTTGGCAGCTGTGTTGTATCTTCTGGGGTTTTGCTTCGGCTCCCTCCATCAAAGATCCACACTGCCTGGTATCTGAAATCATGCGAGCCGGGTGCAGAGCCAGGCAGAGTCCCGTTTCTGACGCTTCAATGCCAGAAGTGGTTGCACCTGTCGACAGGCAGGGGGGCTCTTGCTATATAGGATGGCGTTGCCTGTCACCGTTGGCATAGTGGTAATTGCCGTCGTGTCGCAGGTGCAGCAACGGTCAGTGGTGGCAGCGGTGGTGGTGGTGGTGGCGCTGGGGGCAGCAGCGGCGGTGGCGGTGCTGCTGGCGGCTTGCGGGCGGTGGGTGGTGGGGCGGGGCGGGGCGGGGCGATGCGCGGCAGCGACGGTTTCGGTGGCAG